ATCGTCGTCGCGCTAGACGGCGAGGTGTCGGCGTGGGTGATCGGCGTTGGCCCGTTGGTAGGAAGGCGAGAGCGTCGGGAGATACCTCGTCAGGGTGGTCCAAGTCATCATCCGGAGCGGCGGCGGCTGCGCCCCCTCCACGGTAGACCCACCGGCGGCGACGCCGACTGCCGCGCCTCTCCCCTCCCCCATCTTTCGTCGGCTGCCTCCCCTCTCCCTCTCTCCTCCTCCCGTCGCGAGGCCCTCGAGGCAGCGGAGCTCGACCGGGCTCACTGGCCGCCTCTTTCCTTTCTACCGCCGCCGGCCTATCCCCTCTTTGCAGCAGAGGAGCCTAGCGCGGCGGCGGAGGCAGCGCCCACGATGAAGCGGAGGAAGGCGCGGCCGTGAGATGGGGCTGGTTGTCATGCATGGCGTCGGCCACCGCCTCCCCTCGCCGCCGCCGCTGCCTCCTTCACCGTACCCCGCCATCGCCTCGCCTCCTCCGTGAGCAGCGTGAGCTCATGCCAACGCCTCGCCTCGCCGCCGCCGCTACCTCCTCCGCTGCGCTCACTGCCTCCGCCATCGCCGACCACCCGTCCCCGCGCCGTCCTCTCCGTGTGCGCAGCGCGAGCCGCGAGAGAGAAAAGAGCGAGAGAGAGAGAGGAAGAAGAGAAGAGTATGGCAGGCGGGTCTCACAATTTTTTATTAAAAAAAGGCTGACTGGATTGCCACGTGTGCGCCATGTTGGACAAAACCGCTCTAAATTGGTTCGAGTGGGGTAATTCATCCGGTTTGCATAGTTAGGGGTGAAGAATGTCCGGTTTTGTGGTTAGGAGGGTAATTTGGACGACCGCGATAGTTCATGGGGTAATTCGTACTTTTTCCTAAACTAAATACAATCAACACTACCAAAATTTGGTAGTGCTAAAATATACCATGCCCATAATCTTTAGTTAGCGGATATTTTGGAGAACGGTCGGTGCTCGGTAAAGTCATTATTTTGTCTTCTCCAGTAGCTATTCTACATCCCATGCCATGTATACACTCCACAGTGGCCCACTTTAGATAAGCAACAAAATAAAAAATAATTACGTACTTTTTTTTAAAATAGGACAAATAGATCCGTTATGAGTCTTCTGTAGGATAAGATCGGTTTGGTCTTGTGATAGGGGTTTGAGGAGGAACAAGAGGGGACTTCTAAAAACATAAAATGGATCTCCTTATTTACAGGGAACAAAGTGAGTGATATCTTTTGTGAGTATCCAAGGGTTACTTCTCAGTGGCGTAGCTAGGAATTTTTCGTTGGGTAGTCCTATTGCCCATGATGGAGGATGCAAAAATTTAGGTGTGGCCAAGTAACTGGTAGATAGCAAATATAATGATGCAAAAGTTATACTACGAAATTTACAAAATTTGTCCTTGGTCGTGCCTACTTATGCTACAATTTTTAATATCACCATACAATATAATATGCATTTACAAAATTGTTAAAGACCACCTAATTTAAATAAATCATCGTAACATAAGACACAATGATAAAAAAAAAAAGACAATGAACAAAGTGAGTGATATTTTGTGAGTATCCAAGGGTTACTTCATTACTTCTTTATGTTCTAAAAGTGCTAGGTATGATTTTTCTAGACATTTCTGATAGGATACGTACACGGGAGACATGTAGGAGTTCTTGCCAATGGATACATATGTTGCATGTTACTCCCTCCTTTCCAGAAAAAATCAACCTAGTACTGGATATGACATTATCTAGATTCGTAGTACTGGAATATGTCATAGTCAGTCCTAGATTCGTTTTTCGTGGGAATGAGGGAATATATGGCTTATTTTCAGCAGGACACATGGCAGAATTTTAGAGATGTCTAACTTAATTTTTAGAGACTTTTTACAGTCCTTGAGGGGAGGCAGTACCATATCTTGGCCATTGGTTTCGCCCAATCTAACGGCTGAAAATGGTTGGTACCGCGCGGTACCGTGCCTTCCTCCGAGCCGGTACCAAATGACTTTTGAAGGTGGGAGGGCAAAATTGTACATTCGCATACCGATTAGGAGTGGAACACCGCGTGTCTGCCCCAGTCGTCGCCACAAACTGAGCAACCCTAGAGGTGGCCACGAGCTCGTGGCTGATGCGGCGACCTCCCGAGCGGCGGCGACCTCCCGAGAGGTGGGCCGATGCAGGGTTGTGGTCCCGCCGACGAACTATCCTACCTCCTCTCTCCTCTCGTACAATAGAGGCGGCGGCCATGGGAGTTGCGCAGAGGCCGCGAGAAACCTCTCAGATGCAGAGGTGGCGGACCAAAGTCGGCTCCTCCCACCACCTTTTGGAGCCTCCTCCACCTTTCCCATCTGTGTCTCCCTTCCTCATCCCCTGCCCCTAGCGCCTTAACCATCCCGTCGTCCAGATCCGGCCAAGGACCGGAGCAGGGTTGGAAATTTCGGACTGAAATTTTTGAAATTTCGAAAATTTTGGTCATTTCGGTCACCCCCGATACGATATTATTTCGACCGAAATTTTTCATTTTTTCATGAATTTGGGTAATATTTGTTCAAATTCAACTAAATTTTGCTTAAAATTTCGGAAATATCATATCGAAATTTCCGAAAATTTCGGGATTTCGGTGACCCCCTATACAAAAGCGTCAACCGATAGAGTCAACCCTGGTCTGGAGCGCCAGATATTGCCATGAGGTACACGGCGACGAGCTCAGCTCGGAGAACAGATTGACCTTGGGGCTGCGGCGCAACGACCTACCACTATCCTCCCTAGCGCTGCTACTGGAAGTGATGACCGTTGGGCTGGTCGCCTTGTGTAAGAAGAGGATGGGGAAGCTGCCCGGCATCCATCAGGTACGAAGCTGATGCCAGCAGCAGCTGTGAGCCTGCAAGCGCATCACCGTCCCCATACTTGGGGTCACCAGTCGATGTCGTCTATGAGTGTATGACTTGATCTGTAATTTTTTTAGGCTGTACATAGTGGAGTATATTTCGCTGTAGGTGAAATCTAATTTTTTTTTCCTCCCAATATCTCAAGCACGGACCTTTTCTTCAGCAAATTAACCATGATCAAAGAAAGGGTAAAAGGATTTGTAAGATCTTGTAGTCTTGCCCTTGTTTAGTTCCAAACTTTTTCTTCAAACTTCTAACTTTTCCATCACATCAAAACTTTCCAACACACATAAACTTCTAACTTTTTCATCACATCGTTCCAATTTCAACCAAACTTCCAATTTTGGCGTGAACTAAACACACCCTTTGTTCAGGCACGATTTCTACCTCTGACATGCCAAAACCTGGCGATTCTTGAGTGCTAGAAGGAACTTGCATGGTGGAATATGTCTTGGTCTATTCTGTCAGTTACTATGTTTTGTTGCAGAAGCTATTTTGTCAGTTATGTATGTGGTTGCCGGAATCGATATTGTTGGAATCTGTCTTGAGCTATTTTGTCAATTATCTACAAATAGGTAATTGACAGAATGACAATCTGTCATGGATGTCCATAAATATTGGGGAGATTTTGCCAAGATATTAAAGAAATTCCTAGTGAACTCTCTTATTCATGTAAAACTGCATTTGGTTGTGAGGTTTAGCTGAGATTTTCTGAGTTCTGAAAATTTTCGAACCTTTTCGGAACTAGTGAATCGAGCCATGCACAGGGAGTTCCATCACGCCAAAGGAAGGTCACCCTGGAGACGTCTCTTTCTTCTCCTACAAGCTCCTCCCAAATGCTGTGTTTCTCCAATCACTCCATCGAATGGCCTCCGATGGCCCTGCAAGAGAGAGGGCAGGGATCTTGAGCGGAGCAGGGCTGGCTGTATCGACATGACCCGGAGAGAAATACGAGGACGAAGACTTGGGAAAGGGGTAAAAAGTCATGGGGACTTGTTGTGTCAACAAATGTCCCCATACCAATCTTACCCCTGTGAAATCAACGGTGGGATTGAAGTGGTACCTCAAGGTACCTGGTACCTCGTATGGCCCGTTTGGTTGGAGGGAGTTTTTAGGAGGGATTGGGAGTTTAGAGGGATGAGGCTATTAAGTGTTTTGTTTGGTTGGGAGACATGAAAATTTTAGTGGGATGGGGATGGGGAATTGAGGAAGGAACTCCCTTCTTTTCAATACCTTGGTAGGGGCAGGTAATTGGGAGGAAATTCCTCCTTTACTTTATGTAAGCAAATCTCAGCCATCCGTTTTTATTAATGATAATCTCCAACTAAACTCTCTATCAATTTCCATCACCTCTATCAAACAAGATATTGGGATTAAAATTAAATTCCCATCTTAATCTCATCATCAATTCTCTCGTGTAAACTCCCAATCCCTTCCCTTGAGTTACCAAACAAGCCGGTAGTACCTCCTCAAGGATGGTAAAAACTCTCAGAGATATGTTTAGTGTGGGAGTTTCCGGATTCTCCTCTCACCCTGCCCGTTTGGTTGGAGGGAGTTTTTAGGAGAGATTGGTAGTTTAGAGGGATGAGGCTATTAAGTGTTTTGTTTGGTTGGGAGACATAGGAATTTTGGTGGGATGGGGATGGGGAATCGAGGAAGGAACTCCCTCCTTTTCAATACCTGGGTAGGGGCAGGTAATTGGGAGGGAATTCATCCTTTATTTTTTCTAAGCAAATCTCAGCCATCCGTTTTTATTAATGACCTAATCTCCAAATAAACTCCCTATCAATTTCCATCACCTCTACCAAACAAGATATTGGGATTAAAAATCAAATTCCCATCTTAATCTCATCATCAATTCCCTCGTGTAAACTCCCAATCCTCTTCCCTCGAGTTACCAAACAAGCTGACAGTGTATCTTCTTCTCCTTATTAATCAAACAATGCACAGATCTCCTATGTGTTCGAAAAAATATATTCACATGGTTACGACATTAATTTGGAAGGCATGGTTAAATATAAGGAAAATAACTAGGTTTTTCCTTTTCATGGATAACCATGCTAAATTCAATTGGAAACTTTGATTGCTAAGTCTCCTATTTGAAAGATGTTTCCTCTGTGCAGGGTTGGAATTAAGCTACCGACGGTTGAAGTGCGGTATGAGAATCTGAACATTGAAGCAGAGTCGTATGTGGGCAGGAGGGGACTTCCCACCATTCTCAATACATATACCATCATAATGGAGGTATTTGCATGAATGAACTATGAGAAAATTACTACATTCATAAGAAAAAATGTCTCCATCTATCTGTTATAGGACAAAATTATAATAATTTAGATGAAAAGAAAGACTCTATCGGGGTTGATCAATGAGATGGTTACTACTTTGTGATTATCAGACTTCTTAAGCCCGCACAAATCAAGAAACTGCTATGTAAACTGATCAAGCTAGAAAATTTCAACATGAAATTCACAGGTTTTCATTGATAATAGAGCGGTAATCACGGTCACTAGGAAGCAATTTTAAGTGACATCTTGTGGAGCACGGTCTCCATGTTTAATACAACTTTGTAAGCATTAATTCAAAACTTGTAAAACAATTCTGTGTTTGTTCAATTCAATTATAATGGTTTCTATGAATCTTAACAACCGAAAACTAGTTTTTATTCCATCAATGAACTTTGCGACATCCTAGAAAGTTGCTTCCCATTATCCGTAGTTAATGCTAATTCTCTCCTCTGTTATGAAGCCACATCACCCCAAATGGTTTTTTTTTTTTTGCACCATGGTCAATCGTCCATGATGAGCCCATCAACATTTTCTCACTTATTCCTAACATTTTTTACTACACCACATCAATTATTTCTGAACTTTTGGATAAAAATTCACTTTGCATCATCATGTTTACTTGTCGCCATGCAACTTTTCTATTCCAATGCACAAAGTCTATGTAGTTTCAATGAAACAAGAAATCTATGTGGCAGAGAGTGCCTGCCAACTACGCATTTTCCATGAGTTCCATATGCAGATCTAACTCATGGAATTTGTAAATACTTGATTGCTTTTAGTTACCAGATGACATTAGGCTTGTGCTGACCCATATTTTATTCCATTTTTTAATATTACATTAGGTTTCCCTTATTTTACATAGTTCAATGTATCACACAAAGGTGCAACTGACAACTAGCTACCTCTAAACAGGGCCTGACAAATGCTCTTTGCATTACAAAAAAGATAACACACAAAATACCAATCCTTCACAATGTGAGTGGGATTATCAAGCCTCACAGGTAACTTCTTAGTAATTGTTAGTTTACAAAATATGTCCATGCAACCTTGTCCATGCGGCATATAACCTTGTCCATGTTGTTTTCAGAATGACCTTGTTGTTAGGCCCTCCAGGTTCAGGAAAAACATCACTATTATTGGCCTTGGCTGGAACATCAACCTTAAAGGTTATTTTGTTTATGTTTTTCACATACAACTCTTCTTTAGTACATTGCAATATACTTTAAGTATTAATATGAGGAAACATTGCAATTATAAAAGGTATCTGGAACAATAACTTACAATGGGCATTCAATGGAGGAATTTGTGCCCCAAAGATCTGCAGCTTATGTTAGCCAACATGATGTACATATGGCTGAACTGACAGTTCGGGAGACAGTCAATTTCGCTGCAAAGTGTCAAGGGGTTGGCCATCATTATGGTAAGATAGGAGAAATGGAGAGATTGATACTCATCAACATTAATAAAATATCATATTAAAACATTAACATTTTCTAGAAAATGCTTAGACTTGCTAATGGAACTGTTGAGGAGAGAGAAGGAACAAAATATTAAACCAGATCCAGAAATTGATATATATTTGAAGGTACAATGCAGTTCTTAAATCACAACTAACTTTATCCAGTGTTGAGCTATCTCTAGTACGGTTGTTTTTACCATTTATTGATGTTCCACTAAAAGGTTTGAGGAATTGCACTTTATCATTTTGCTTATGCAGGCAGCTACAACAGGAGAGCAGAAAGCTGAGGTGGTCACAAATCACATACTAAAGGTGTATGAGCACTGTCTAGTTATATAGTTCTATTGTAGTGTTACAATAAATTTCACAATTGAAATCCGTATGCCATTTCCCAATAATTCTTTACTTTTCTAACTATCGAAGATTTTGGGATTGGATATCTGTGCCGACACAATAGTAGGGAACAATATGCTGAGAGGCATATCAGGAGGGCAAAAAAAGCGACTAACGACAGGTAATGTATCATTGGAGTTATTAGAGTGCATGATGGTTACAATTTCTGATCCACTCCCTAATATTGATGCCACAGCTGAGATGATTGTTACACCAGGACGAGCACTTTTCATGGATGAGATATCAACTGGACTTGATAGCTCGACAACATTCCAGATAGTTAACACCATCCGACAAACCATTCGCATTCTTGGTGGAACAGCAGTTATTGCTTTGCTACAGCCCGCACCTGAGACATATGAATTGTTTGATGATATAATTCTACTATCAGATGGTCAAGTTGTCTACAATGGCCCTCGTGATCATGTGCTTGAGTTCTTTAAATCGGTTGGATTCAAATGCCCTGAGAGAAAATGCGTAGCTGACTTCTTGCAGGAAGTGAGTTTTACCATGGTTTGACCTTAGCATTATTTTTGGTCAAGTGCTTAACTATGACTAATTATAAGTGGCTTATTTTAGGTTACATCTAGGAAAGATCAGAAACAATACTGGATAGGTAGTGATGACACATACCAATATGTTCCTGTTACGATGATTGCTGAGGCATTTCAGTCTTTCCATGTCGGTCAAGCAATCAGAAGTGAGTTGGCAATCCCATTTGAGAAGAGCAAGAATCACCCCGCTGCGCTGGCAACATCTAAGTATGGTGTTAGCATGAAAGAACTACTCAAAGCAAACATTTATAGAGAGATATTGCTAATGAAAAGAAATTCGTTTTTGTATATATTCAAGGCAATTCAGGTGATTCTTAAAAACCAAAGGTTGTTTCATTATAGAAAGATAACTCATAAGCTTTAAAAGGTCAAAGTTAATTGGCCTCTTATTATATTATTTCCCTTAATTGTTCAGCTAAAACTGGTCGCAATAAATGCAATGACTGTGTTTATCCGAACCAATATGTATCGTGACTCGATAGAAAATGGGAGGTCATACATGGGAGCACTATTCTATGGAATGATGATGATTGTGTACAGTGCTTTGGCAGAAATGGGACCAGCTATTGCGAAGCTCCCAGTTTTGTTCAAGCAAAGAGATCTATTATACTACCCATCATGGACATATTCCTTGCCATCTTGGATCATTAAGATCCCTATCTCCTTCCTCAACACAACAGTTTGGGTCTTCCTAACATACTACGTCATTGGATTTGATCCAAATGTACTGAGGTAAGGAAAACAAAATATTACCATAAATAAATTCTTGTAATGAATACACTATAAGATTAATGAAAACAATGCAATGCTACAGATTTTTCAGACAGTTCCTTGTACTTTTTGTTTTGTGTGAGGTAATATATGCACTTTTCCGCTTCATTGTTGCCCTTACAAGGCATCCGGTTATTGCAAGCAACATGGGCCCATTCTGCATCCTCATTTTTATGCTTTCATGTGGATTCATCTTGACTAGAGGTATGCAAATAGTTTAATGAATTACCATATGATGCTTCTGTAAGTTTTGATACTAATTCCACAATGTATGTAGTACTTTTATCTCTGTTATATGTCTGTATGATTCAACAGATGATGTCAAGAAATGGTGGATATGGTTGTATTGGATATCACCCCTAATGTATGCCTTAAACGCTTTAGCCGTAAATGAATTCCTAGGTCAAATCTGGAACAAGGTAAACATATACTTATGGAATCGATTAAAAGCCATATATTTGAATTTGCCTGGCTAAAACATTTTGTTATTGTTAAACAACAGTCAATACTTGGTTACAAAGGACCACTTGGAAGGCTAGTTTTAGGATCTAGTAGTTTTCTTCCTGAGACCAAATGGTATTGGATTAGTATTGGCGCCTTGCTCGGATATGTGCTTTTATTCAATGTCCTCTACACCATATGTCTCACATTTCTCACACGTGAGTTATTAAAAAAAGCCAATTTTTTCATTAGTAAAATTTATTCTTTCAAATGATCTATAAATTCTAATTTTATGCACCATGCACTCTATAGTATTTAGCAGGAGCCAACCAACAAAGCCTCAGGAAATGTTGCAGATAAAACAACATAATTTAACTAATGAAGTTTTGGAAGCATCGTCTGGAGGGCGTGCTGCCTGCAATACAATATGTAAATTTTTTGATTCACCTATCAAAAGACTAAACATGTCATAACATGATGAGATGCCATTCAAAAGTTAATTTTCATTTGTGCTGTGTCTGGTAGATGCTAAGGAAATCATCAATGATGAAGCAAATTCGTACCATGCAACAAGACATTCTAGTGCTGGAAATAAAGGAATGGTTCTCCCTTTTGTACCTCTTTCCATCACCTTTGAAGACATAAGATATAGTGTAGACACGCCAGAGGTACAAAAATATTGCAAAATATTGTTGAGACATGCTTGCTCTCTCTCTCTGCATAATTGCCTATATTTGCACCATTTGCGAGCAAACTCTATATAATAGTTGTTCTAATCCTGCAATAAAACTTGTAGGCATTTAAAGCAAAAGGTATGACAGAGGGTCGACTGGAACTATTGAAAGATATCAGTGGTTCTTTTAGGCAAGGAGTACTTACAGCTCTTATGGGTGTCAGTGGTGCGGGAAAGACAACACTGCTGGATGTGTTGGCTGGGAGAAAAACTAGTGGATATGTACAGGGTAGTATTACCATCTCTGGCTACCCAAAAAAGCAAGAAACTTTTGCCCGAATTTCAGGATATTGTGAACAAAATGACATCCATTCACCAAATGTAACTGTCTATGAGTCCCTTATGTTCTCCGCATGGCTTAGATTACCTGTTGAAATTGATTCTGCGACAAGAAAGGTAAGTCAAGTACAAGTAATAACTACTCTCTCTTTATTTGAATACAAAGTAGTATATAAGAATGTAGATTTTGTGAACTGATCTATATTGTCTCACATGATGCTACAAATGAAAAACAAAATTGATAGAGATGGAATTTTTATGAAAAATACGCGACGATGTGTTGCTTTTTCTTTATCTTGTAGTAGTTTTTAAAAGGAATATTCATGTATCTTTTTGACATGGTTTCTAGATGTTTGTTTATGAAGTCATGGAGCTGGTGGAGATTCTCTCCTTAAAAGATGCACTGGTTGGATTACCTGGCGTTAGTGGATTATCATCTGAACGAAGGAAAAGACTAACAATAGCAGTGGAACTAGTTGCAAACCCATCCATTATATTTATGGACGAACCAACATCTGGACTTGATGCACGAGCAGCAGCCATTGTGATGAGAGCAATAAGAAATACGGTGGACACAGGAAGAACCGTTGTTTGCACAATTCACCAACCAAGCATTGAGATATTTGAATCTTTTGATGAGGTGAATGAAACTATAACAATATTGTGCATTTGATCTTTCAAGAAAAGAAAAAGTAAATCATTGGTGAGTAAATATTGTTTGCACACTCACTCAATTTATTCTAATATGGTTCTTTGTTGCAGCTCTTCCTAATGAAACAAGGAGGTGAAGAGATTTATGTAGGTCCTATAGGACGACAATCATGTGAATTAATTAAATATTTTGAGGTAAGAAAAAAACACATAAAACAATACAATTTTGCATTTTTGCTGTACGAAACATGCTATTGAACTCCTTTTATTTTCTAAAGGCTATTCAAGGTGTCAGCAAGATAAAAGATGGCTACAATCCTTCAACATGGATGTTGGAAGTGACTAGTACAACGCAGGAACAAAGAACTTGCGTGGACTTTTCTCAAATATACAAGAATTCTGAGCTATATAGGTAGGTATTGGGTAGTGCTTTAATTGTTGTCCCATTAACATAGCATCTATGTGCAAAGCCAACTTTCTAGTATGTACAGAATATCCGTGATGGTATGTGTAAGAAGTGGGTTCTACTAATGATAAAAAAAGGAAATAATGAGACAATGTAGTGGCGAAAGCAAAAATATTTCCTATATGAATTGCAGAAAGCGATGAAATCATAATATCAAACTGGAAATGCCTCAAATTTATTATTCTTCCACAATTAATGTTTCCATTTATGAAAATGGTAATAGGAAACATCATTGTTTCACAATGTTACTAGTTTGCTTTCATTACAGGAGGAACAAAAATTTGATTAAGGAGTTAAGTGCACCTCCTGAAGGTTCAAGCGACTTATCATTTCCAACTCAATATTCACAGCTTTTTCTTACACAATGGTTGGCTTGCCTATGGAAGCAACATCTATCGTATTGGAGAAATCCTCCTTATATTGTTGTGAGGTACCTCTTCACTATTGTAGTTGCACTCTTGTTCGGAACCATGTTCTGGGGTATTGGCAAAAAAAGGTAATTAACTGCAATAAACAAATGCAAGTAAATAATATATATATATATATATATATATATATATATATATATATATATATATATATATCTCAAGTCCATCCATTGCAGTTTACAAAAGATATTCCATTGCTGCAGACAAAATCAACAAACCTTGTTCAGTATCATGGGTGCCATGTATTCGGCATGTATGGCAATGGGGGTGCAGAACTCTAGTTCTGTTCAGCCAGCTATCTTTGTTGAGGCGCACGATCTTTTACAGGGAAAGAGCATCACACATGTACTCTGCTTTGTCGTACGCCTTGGGACAGGTAAAGTTTGTTGGCATCATAATCATTTTGTAAATATATGCATGCGAGTCTTGATAAAATGTTTTAACATACTATTATTTTTTTATACAAAACCAAGGCTCTCAGTAAGTGGAAAGGAATGGTGAAACAAAAAGCCTTCTTGACATCTAGTTTCATTGCAGGTTGCAATTGAATTTCCATACATTTTTCTTCAGACCATAATATATTGTGTGCTAGTGTATGCCATGGTAGGGTATGAGTGGACATGTGCCAAATTTCTTTGGTACCTCTTCTTCATGTTCTTCACACTATCATACTTCACATTTTATGGCATGATGATGGCGGGTTTGACTCCAAACAATGCCATGTCTGCTGTTGTTTCCACGGCATTCTATAACATATGGAACCTTTTCTCAGGATTTCTAATACCACGGATTGTACGTATACCAGCTTTTCTCAAGTATCTAATTGTACATTGTTCGTGGCTAAATTATCTCACATCCACTAATTTTTCTAATATGGCTCCGTTTACTACAGAGAATTCCAGTATGGTGGAGGTGGTACTATTGGATGTGCCCTGTTGCTTGGACACTCAATGGATTGCTTACATCACAGTTTGGGGATGTAAATGACAAGTTTAATAATGGCGTGAGTGTATCTGACTTTATCGAGAGCTACTTTGGTTACAAGCAGGACTTGTTGTGGGTGGCCGCTGTGGCAGTTGTCTCCTTTGCTATTCTCTTTGCCTTCCTTTTTGGACTCTCACTTAGGCTATTCAACTTCCAGAAGAGATAAGTAAGGAAGACCATGTCGAGTTTCAGACTTTGATCAAATATTGGTTATCATAGATGTTTTACAGTATGTGCATAATGGCATAATGGCATATAACATGCTTACAAGCATCTGTTTTGCCAATATAAAATGCAGCCGTGCCGAGTGAGTTTGTTTAATGGCTGTTTGCAAAATTGGCTCTCCTATACCCCTCATTCTCAACTTTTATCCTTTATTTTTCCTGGTAGTAATCAGGTGAAAAGATGGTTTTTTCCATTGCATGTAATTTATATGAACCAATAAATCTTCTTGACTACTAGTAAACAAATAATAGATTAAATTTTCACAATAAAGGTTAATATGTACCCAAAACAAAAGAAGAAACAAAAAATATTTTGGGGGCAAGATTGTAAATTTGAGTAAAGTGCATAGCCAGTTCCTATTCTTGTTCGCACCTATCATCTCGATCCCCAAACTCTTAAAATACATATCTTGGTGCTATAAATTGTTAAAGTGTGTTATTCTGATCCCAAATTGCCATGAACCCCCAAATCATAGGTGACATGCCATGTGGATGCTGACATGTGTCACACTCCACCTTTGCATCATCTAATAGTGACACTAGAGGGGATGAGCTGCAAGAGATCTGCGTGAACCGAATCCAATGGAACCACTCTTCCGGTACCAGCAATAGGACACGATTGCTCATACATGCGGTCAACTAAGATGAATCTATTCAACTGAATATGATACCTTATAGAAGGTCACACCTTCAAAACGACTCCAAAAGTGTCACGGGCAAGTAGAGAAGCAGCAGCAGAAGTTAGCGCAGCTAGACCCTATCCACGAGCAATGGTTTGGGATTAAAAAGAAACCCTAACCTTCAACTTCACTCTTCTTGGGGGAGGGGAAAATAACAATGGCTGAGTAAATACATACTCCACAAGCCACGGGAAATTTGAGTATGCAGGCTCCAAATGACAGTTGGTTTTGTTTTGTAAACTTTTAAAAATATATTTTGAAAAACAAACTAAGTGTGGCGTTGTTTACCATGTGATTGGATGGAGTTTCTCGCTTCCATCCTGTCTACGAATTGCTTTGCAACAACTCAAGTGGATGAAAAAAAATTTAGTTGATGACCACTATTATGTCGGCTGTCGTACCATGACTCTAGCACATAACCTTCTATCCTTAGGCAGTTCCCAACTCAATCGGTGTCCATTAGTTTCTTTTCACTTTTTAACCACTGGGCATCATCCCATCTAATCATCTCATCTCTTTGGCTCCCAGAGCCAACCATATTCTCCAACACACTAGTGTGGCCCTACAAATTGGGAGAAATATAATCAAAGGGTAACTTCCTTCTGATTTCTTGTCCAAAATAATTTCCAACGACATAGACTATGTGCAAACGAAAGAGAACCAAACAAAACCCTAAAAATAAAACAATATTATTAATAACAAATAGTACGATTGGATAGATCTCATTTTTAGAAAAAATTGAAGGCCTTAACATGGTCGATTCGAGTTACAAATAGGGAGTATGATTTTTGGATGATTATGATTTTCTGAAATATACCAAAAATGATTTATTTGGAGTATAAGGGGAATAATAATATTCCCATGACAGGTTGGCTCAAGGGTCGGTGAGAAAGGGAAGTAAAATAGACTTTGTAGGGGTGAGATGTTGGTTGGTGCACTCAGGCAGGCCCATTGGCTCCAACCCATTTATGAAAGTAGCCAGTTGAGGGAGAGATAGTGGACTTGGAAAGGTGGAAGAATGAGGTGGGCCACTACCTGTGTGGGCTACCAGGCTGGCCCATAAGGCATCGACCTGGTCTACGGCTAACGCAACTCGGTGGCACGGAGTTGGCCCGCCCATCGCAGCCGCATCGGCCTAGTACGGGAGGGTTTGACCGTCCCCAATCAACGGCTGGTGACAGCAAGGAGTTGCAGGGATGATGGTGACTCGGTGAGTGTGACAAGTGGCTTGGATGGGTAGGAAGGTCAAAGGTGCACGATGGCAGTGAGAGAAAGCCAACACACGGCAGTGGCTGATTGTGGCAATGGTGCCGTTGCATCGAAGTGGGAGAGAGAGGATGGATTAGAGAGCTCATCGGAGGGAGTTCTATAGCGGTAGAGACAAAACAGACCTCGCAGCGCTCCAAATTGTATGGAGCGCAGCGAGAAAGTGATTGGCCGAGGGGGATAGGAGGCATGACTGAGGCAGAGGGAGGACAAGCGAGAATCCTGTTACGCGCGTACGCACCGGCAAACCAAGTCGCGCGCACGGGGCTAGGTTTTCTTTTTTCTTTTCAGGACTTTTTTCTTTACCGGATATGCCTATATTAACGTAACTAACTAATCTGATTAGTTGATTAGTTTTAGATAATAACGATAATTAAGGAAAAATTAAGGACGTTCTTTTTGTATTACTAATAGATTGAAAAGAAAACTATACATGCAGTTAAATTTTGAAAACTTTCAACTTTTCATCTCAAATTTGAAAAACTTTCAACTCAAATTTGAAAACTTTCAACCCAGATTTGAAAACTTTCAACTCAGATTCGAAAACTTTCAACCCAAGATTTGGAAACTTTCAAACTAGATTTGAAAACTTTCAACCCAAAATTTGACAACTTTCAACTCTAGATTTGAAAACTTCCGACTCCGATTCGAAAACTTTCAACTCAGATTCGAAAACTTTCAGCTCGAGATTTGAATACTTTCAAATCAGATTTAAAAATTTTCAAGTTAAGATTTAAAAACTTTCATCTCAAAACATATTGAAAAAATAAGTGTGCTAAAGATTAAAAAAAGTAATCAGAAAAAAAAAACGCAAAAGAAACAGCGAAAAACAAATCACCAAAAAAAGGAAAAAAAATGGGCTGGTGGGCCTTTTGGGTTGGGAGCAGCTGGCGCACGCGCGTGCCAACTAGCAACCCCCGAGGACAAGGGGGCAACGTGCTTTGCATGAAGCACGGGGTGCTGTGGAGCTGCAATAGGTGGAGGCAGGAACTCGACAATCAGGTGTGGTTTCTCGATATACTGGGAGGGCATAGGTAGGGGGTATTGACTGTATAATTGTACAATTATAGGTGTAGACTAAAATGACTATATACTAGAAGTACAGAAATGATGCTTTTCTTTTTTTTCTCCAATTAGCTTAGATTATTATTTGAGTGAGTGTCTTCTGGTTAGTTCCTTATGTGTGTTAATCGATCCTAACACCTGAATTGATTAACCCCCGCATTAGACTTTGATCTACATATATGATGAAAATTATTAACATAGTACTCTCTTATCATATTTTCCCACAGGATTAAATAAATATGATACCTTGGAAATACTTCCGGGTGAAATACTATATCCATGCGCTTGCGGATTATATCTGTAATAAAGAATACCGAGTAATATTTCAAGAGCCACTAGAGGGAATTATATTTCTAGTAATGTTGTTAAGAAATATCAACACCACGCACCAGATCTATGCGTGGGGAGGGCGGCCAGCCACCGGATATGTGAGGCACACAGCCGCCGCTACCGGTTCCTTGTGGGGGTTGTCCACCACCCGCCGTCCATGCCCTTCACCGCCGGATGGGGCCACCGGGTGCGGGGGAGGATAGAGGAGGCCGCCGCGCACCATCGCCCTCACCCGCTGGTGCCCACGCCTGCCATCGCCGTCGTCCACGCCCGCCGCTGCCGCCAATGCTCACCGTTCAGGACAGAGGAGAGGGGAAAAGAGGAGCCGGGAAAGGAAGAGATTCGGTGAGGCCGTGAGAGAGGAGAGGAGTGGTGGAGATGAGTGGGTGGGAGGGGGGGCGGTGGAGGGGAGAACAAATAAAATGAGTGAGAAGAGAAGTGTTGTTGCGTACGGGTGAGTTAAGACCCCGCATGTGAAAATCCTTATTTTCGCGTGCCGATGTTTTAAGTGGTCCGTTTGGAAAAAAAATAATTTTTGTGTGTGAGTCTATTAAAGAGCCGTATGCGAAAATTGGGGTCAATTTTTGCGGACGCAGACACTTATGGCCCGTCTACAACCTATTAGGGTGCTTGTCCATGAAAATCATTTTTGCACTAGTGTAATTCAAGTTCCAAGCGTAGTCATCGGAGTGTAATTTAGTTTTTCCCTGCTGATTCTAGACTAGTGCTTATCACGGTTACTCAACTGATCGGTAATGCAAAAAAGATATTCACGTCTGCTCAGGACGGGAACTATTATTTAATGAAGGAAAAAATACGAATTACCCCCTGAATTATCGCGGTCGACGGAATTACTCCCGTAAATCCGAAAACCAGACATCGTTCACCCTGAACTTTTAATACCGGACAAATTACCTCTCTCGACCCAATCCAGAGCTGTTTTGTTCTACGTGGCGTACGCGTGGCAGTCCAGTCAGCATTTTATTTATAAAAAAATATGGGACCCACCTGTTATACCCCTATCACAAAAGCATAAGTCCCTATGAGAGAAACTAAAATTTTTGTGAGAGGGACTATAGTCCCTCCTTCCCAAACACCACTTTTTTTCCTTCTTCCTTCCTAAACAAGCAGTGATCTGATGACATTTTCGGCCCAGGGCCGTATATGGTGGATGATTCTACTCTACTTTTAATTTTATTTGACGCGAGTGGTTTCTACAGCTGACGTGTATGTGGTCAACGTACCGTTTCAAATTGAGAGAGTTTGTAGCATGGACATTTTTGCTACTGTGCCACCTCTGTTTCGTACGGGCTAATAAGTCACTACTATTGAAACTCAGCTTCGTCAGTTCACAACCGTGCTAAGCTCTATATTGCCACGTGCTAAGCAAATTTAAGTATTTTTTTTAGAATCACACAGTACAACGCAAACACTCACAATCACTCACAACGTACACGCACTCGCTCCTATGAACGCACGCACGCAAACCTTACCCCTATGAGCATCTTCGAAGACTGGGCCGGCAAAATATAATTTAAAGCGCATATATATATATATATATATATATATATATATATATATATATATATATGAAAATTATATCCTACTACCGAGAGTAAATATACATGTATTACAATTCATTATGTGCTCGCTAGCTACGACTTCGACGCCGGTGTTATATATGTCAGAAGAAGAAGGACCGGCGTTATAAATTGTCGATCCGTCGTAGTAGAATTCACCGTCGGGATCAAGAACTTGTTCGTTGATGAAT